AGAAACATTGTTGCTGGACGAGTTGCAAATGTCCATAATAACGAAGTTAATTAAGAAGTGACTAACGAAAAAGCTAATCAGACATGGATGATGGTATCCAAAATCGTCAAGCGATAGATTTACGTTCTTGGTTTCTATCAAATAGTTAAATACTATACGTGAATTTTCGATGCATGCTTAACCGCTGTAAATGTTTATAACAAATTTTCATAAACATCTTAGCAAAGTCATGCACCAACGTTTTGGCATTTGATTTTCCAACACGCTGGCACCACTGCCGTGTTTGACAGTTAGAAAGTAAATGACAGTTCTCCGTGCCGTGGTCGTGAATTTGCGATTTTTTTCTTGTGTGTTTGATATTTTTATTTGTGCCGCAAATCGCCTTTGTCTGTCTGTCTGCGCTGATTGTGTGCTAGTTTAACCAGCGCCAGTTGGAATTTATTGTATAAAATTCGTTTGCGATATTTAAATAAAGGCGACTGCAAAAACCAGTGCGAAATTCAGCCAAACAAACTGACGGACGTTGTGAGTGAAGATGTCAAAAACCAGCGTTGGCGATAAAATTGTAAGTTTTGTTTTTATACGTTTAGTGATAATTTGTTTATTTTGCAAAGGTTTTTGTTTTCTGTATTGATTTGCTTTGTTTTGTATTGGTCAATCCACAAAATTCCAATCAAAAGGATGCCCTGTCCATCGGCGCTGTCAAGTTAAATGGAAGCTGCGACCGGCAAATTGTTGTAGTTGCTTTTTTATGAAGATTAACCATAATTTAAACGTTGAAGTAGACGCAAAAGCTTCAACTATTTCACGCTTATTACTCAGCATTATTTGACGATATGTGCAATGTACATATGTGCTTTTCGCGTACAAGAAATATTCACCCCATCAGCTGATGCTACAAGCTAATTTGCATCAAGTTTTGCCGGCAGCCGGTTAATGCCGGCAAAATTCAAAAGTCGACAGAGAAAAACCGGCAAAGTACGAAACCTTCCTCAGAATTATTTACATAGCTGCAAAACAGCAGCAGCAGCAGTAGCAACAAAAGCCTGAGCATTAACAAAAGCGTCAGGAGTAGCAGCAGCAGCAGCAGCAAAAAAACACTACAAATAAGGTGCAATACACAAGCCGACATGGTTGTACATACATACGTATTATGTTGGCCGGCACACTGTCGGGGCAACTAAATAACCTCTCCGGCTAGTTGCAAAATAAAAAGATTATCTACAAATAATAGCGAATGTAACGTAAAAATTCTGGCAAAGTGTTGTATTAAATCGACATCGTCACACGAGGTGTCACAAACCGCTTGTCGGGCTGAACCACCCACTGCTTGCCCACCCACAACTACATATGTAATACATTGGTCAAAATATTGCGCGTCTTTGAATGCGCGAGCAATTTATGTCCCATGTACATATCTATCTGTATACAAATGCATGTAAGAAGCTTTTCCACTGTTTGTTTGGCAGAGAAGGGTATATATTTTTTGTTTATTGTTTTGATCTTTCATTTATAACAAGCTAAAGCAATATAACCGAAATTATTAATTAGAAAACTTTAAAAAAGAATACAAAAACTTTTGCATTATTAAAATTTAACGAATTTTTCAAAATAGCACGAGAACTCAACATTCCAAACTAATGCTCCAACTTCCAACAGCGTTTTTCTAATATTAACATAGTACATATTTATACTGTTACTCGTTTTTAATCGCCCAAATAAAATCCTTTTGCAATTAAAACGTAGATAAGCGATGAAAATATACATACATATATGTATATCGTCGTTTAAAGTACAAAACCGCGTATCAACAAAATGCAAAACCGCTTATCAAGATAATGCAAAACCGCGTATGTGAGGTTGCATAAATTATTTTCTAGAGAGTAAAAACACTCATATTTCAAAATGGTCCTCTTTTTTTTATAAAGAAATCGCATTTCTGGCTAGTATATTTCAGGACGAATGGGTAAGGATTGAGCCAAGAGCTTAAGTGAACAAATCTAACTGTCAGTTACGCGGTTTTGCAAACGACTATACGCGGTTTTGTACTTTAAACGGCGATATGTACTATTAAAGTATCTAAATGCTACATGAAAATTGGTCGAAACCAAGTTCAATGCCGTGCGGATGACGGAAAATGCATTCAGTCTTCTGCCAGCGTTAGCGATGCCAACAAGTGCGGCCAGCATAAAGAGACAAATAATTTTAAAGTACCTTTAAGGTACTTGTAAAGAGGCGCTATTTCTTCTCCATTGGCCGTCCGAAAATGAGTCAAAAACACATTTGAATAAAATTAAAAATTTATTAAGTTAAAAAAAGTAAAAAAAAAAAAATTGTTAACCATGTCGATGTGCGAATTGGAATCATTGCTGTATCGGAAAAGGAATGTGGTATATGCATTTGTGCGGCATCGACTGATGCTCATCTGTAAACAGTCGGTAAGGAGCGGGAGTGAAAAGCAAAACGACTAACTACGCATCCATAAAAGTTTTTCATATTTAAAACGATTAAAAAATAGTACTATAGTGCTTGCAATCATTTAGCGTAAGCGTGCTCTTCAAGCATTTCGGAAATGCGCCAATTATCAGCGTTGATGTGGTTGAACTTGAAAATTTTGGCAGGCAATCTAAGCTAAATTAGCAAAAACAAGAATAAATTGCAAACAAAAACGAAAACCAAAAAATAGTTTGCACGAGCGGAAGTAAAAAAATCAACAAAAATATACTTTAACACCCACACTATTTTTAAATTATTCTCAAGTTTTCTAATTGTAAACTTTAATTGCTATTTATCTGATGTTCTTCTTTTAACATTTTTAGTTGATACGCGTGC